GTGGGACCATGGGCAAGAGATTATGCCAGAAGATGGATCATAATACAAACAGTTTCTCCCRTACACTGCCCCTCAGTATGTTACTGGGCCCAGTCAGGAACAAGGGACTGGGTTAAGGTGACCCTTTGGCCAGAGCCAGTACAGATGTTCTGGTGAGTTTCTTTTTATTAGCATTAAAAATACATCCAATTTTAACTTACTGTGAAATACATTGCAGTGTAATAAACAACCCTGCAAACTGATGTCAGCTGTCTCTCCACAAATAATCCCAAAGTCCCCCTTTACTGCTGCCTGTCCATGTGCCCTGACCCTCAGCTAAAGAGGTCTCTTCTAGAGTGAGCCCTGAGCTCATTCCCTATGGTGCATTCAGTCTCAGCCTCTCTGCCAAGACAGCCAACACCAGTAGCTATTATGGAAGTCACTCACTGTGACATGATGTCCCATCTGTGGGGCACACAAGTCAAACCACTCCTGCAAGACCCACCAGAGTGGGGGAGTCACCAGAGAGCAGCACAGGGCTCGCTTTTCCCTGCACAGCACGTCTGGCTCCTTCATTATAAGGACACCGCAGCTTGACCCGACCACTGATCTAACACAACAAGCCCTCTGTAGTCAGAGCTGTGGGAATTAATAGCACCATTCTTTCCATTTCCAATGCAGTTTGAGAGACTTTAAGCAAATCTGATGAGGGACAATGTAGCCAGCAATGAATTCATGCAGGAAGCATCTTACCTGCACTGCAGCTATGGCTTGTGCCAATGCTCCTACAAGTCTGCTAGCAGAGAAGCTTAAAAAACTTTTAAGGGTATCTTAGCACTACCAGACCATGTAGAGCAAGCTGCAACTGTGTACTCTGAGCTGCTCTGTTCTTTTACTGCAGTTCACCTCTCTGCTTAATTGGCATAGATGTTGTTGGACCTTCTCCTGCAAAAGGTCTAAAAAGGATGCTACTTCCTTGGATTTTAGTGGATTTCTGTGCAAAGTTCCAGAGTTAGGAAGTGACCTGACCTTTAGCAAATACCTGTATCTTCTTGTTCAGAACTTACTATGCCATTTGGGACACGTTCCCAGTGCATTCCCTGGCTCACTGCAGGCGTAGGTGGGAGCTTGCTGGCTTTTCCCAGCCTGGAGCCTGTGCCCTCCAGCCCCAGGGCATACAGGGCCTTTCACCCCCATCAAGCTTCATCTTGCCCATCCACTGCTCAGCCTTGTTAACCACAGTGAGGGAGGCAGGGAGTTTTTTCCTGCCTTCTTAGAAATATTTCATGGAACTGGAGAAGGTTTGTCACTGTATTTTTCTACAGTAGGTTTTGGCTCTCAGGTAAGTTTTGTTTCCTAAAATCTAAGTCATGTATACATCCCCCKCAAGAAGTTTCACAGTAGGGATGTAGGAAAAATTGGGTTTTGGTAAGCAAAACCTGTTCTCACACACACTCCTACCACCAAAACTCCTGAAATGTCCTGATGGAAATAGCTGGGTTTGGAACACACACACCTATCAGAAAGCCAGTTCAAAAAAAGAAAAGCAAAAAAAGGTTCTGAGTTGCTTTATGCTTTGAACTGGGCCAAGAGACTGGGCTGGTGACTGAATTACAGCAGAATGCAGCTCACACACAAGTGCAAATCACTGCCCTCTGCTYACACCAGTGCCCCAAAGACGCTTCCAGGCGTTCTCTCCTCTGTCTGGCGGAGCTGCAGCTCCTGAGCTGCACCCTGTGCTGAGCTGCCATGGCCATCGCTCCCCGAGGGGAGCCCCACTACTGSCACGGACAGATGCCATCAGTCACATCCATTCCCCGTGGCACAGCCAGGCTGTCAGCCCTGGTGACAGCTTTGCCGTGACGGCTCTCACAGCCAGTGCCCGGAGCAAAGCCAGCGCTGCTGAGTGCGGACAGAGGGCTGGGCCTGCCTTTGCACCTCTGCACTCACAGTGCTCACTTTCTCATGAGTAAAGAGCTTTCTCTCCATCTTCTAGGCCTGTTTTTTTTTCCATTTTCCTATGTTTGGGTTTTTCTTTTCACATAAAAACCAGCCCATGTTTACTACTAATTATGTATGAGTTCACAGGCAAAGCCTGGGACTGCAGCTCCCAGAGAAGAGCACTGAAAGGTAAAAACAGGGAAACAAGCTCTATTAATACAGTTTATCTTTTGCACAGGAGCTCCACCTCCTCTCTTTCAAGACCATGTATTCAGATAATGAGAAACAGGGTATTCCCACCCCTCACGCACAATCCCCATTTTATTTTATACACAGTGAGGAATTAAGACATGAGACTTTCTAAACCACTTCCCACAAGAGCTGTCTCTGGCTTTGACTTTGATAATCCAGCTTGACTGATCTTTCCTGGTGGCAGCACTGGTGTCAGTAGCTAAGGTGATGGATGGGCTTTACAGCTCAAACAGCCTTCGGGATAGCTGGTTGAAGAGAAGGACATAAAACTAGCAGTTTATGCTCTCTCATGTTTCTAAGCCACAGCAAGTTCATGGAGACTTTTTTTCTTTACTGGTGGCTTTGAAACAGGAGCAAAATAAAAAGGGTGAGACTCTCAAGTAGTTATGCTGCACCCATGGCTAGAGGAAAGTGAATTATATGATTGGGAAGCAGTGGTGGCTGCCCAAATTTTCCATCATCCCAAACTCCTGATGACATTGGTTCATACACTACTTCCTAGTTTCTCTCCTTTATCTGAGTTTTAACTTGAGGTCTCCTGGGCAGGTGTGGCACGAGTGAATGCTGTTGTCTTCAGGCAGAAAATGAAAGTAGGAGACATAAGAAGACAAATAGCTCATCTGCCACGAAAGACAGAGTGGCATCAGAACAGTCTCTGTGCATCCTAGCAAGATGAACATGAGTAATTTTARGCAGTTAGAGACATCGGAGTTGTCAGGTCACAATTTCAGATAAACTCATATTCTACTAAATCTTTCCCAAGTTATCTCTGCCATCAGAAGAGCTGTGATCACTTGGGTAATGTAACAATGGCTGAAACTCTAAATGCAGTCAGATTGATAGGCCCCATTAAGAYGCTCATCACAAGCTACTAAAAACCTACTGATTTATGGCTACCAGCAGGAAAGTTTCCTTACAGGCAGTTATATTTTTCTTCTTCAGCTTTCAAAGCTGTTTTTGTAGAGGTTTCACTGTTTAAGCACTTAGAGCTTAATGAATACTCAGACAATTGTCTGATTTTAAGCTCCCTGGATGCCAGCAATGACTGAGGTTGAAGATAACCTAGAAAAGAGCCCAACAGCAAACGGTGAGCACAAGGCTTCTACTGATAAGAACAATTGCTTGGTGCCCTTCAGAGCTTAAATTCGTGACCAAGTTTCCACAAAATGAATGCAAATGCACTTCAGATGACCTCAGCAACTTGCTGTGTATACAATCTTAACCCTTAGCAAAGACAGAGGGATCTAAGTGACACAGACATGCATGGACATAGACAGCAGCAAATGTAGGGCAGAGCAGAGCTGAACACAGCCCCAAACACCCTTCAAAGTTAAAAATAGGAAAAAATTGTTCATCTGCTTCTTCCACACTGACACAGACCTTCAACTGTGTCCAGGGCAGAGACTGGGAGGGTAGTCCAAGATGGTTCTGTCTGACATAAATGTAATATGTATTTAACATCTTGGAGGTATAAACCTGTGTTGGCTCTCCTGGAGTTTAACAACCAGGAGATTCTGTGCACAAGCAGACAGCAAAACTGAGCTGGAGGCAGCTCTGGATTCATAGTTTGGAGTCTGTGGTTTTCCCCTGAGAAGGAGCAGTAGTTCCTGAAAACCTCTACTGGCTTTCAAAGGGGACTTTTCCTCCTCATTGCTTGCAGTACCTGTGTTTTATCCAGGAATGTGACATCCAACCTACTTTCTCATTATAAAAGCAGCAGGACTATGTTTTTAGGAAGATGGCAGTTTCTACATTCTTTGTAGTTAAGGACTTCCCCAACTATCACACAGCCATAGAGTAAACAGATGTACCAGGGTGAATTYGGGTAAAGAGTGACTCAGGATTTCTGAGGCATCATCAAGTGCAAACAAGACCTTTGAGATCAATTACTGGCTGCTTAAAGTGAAACAGAACTGACAGATGCATTCAGTGTCGCAGGGCAGTCACCTTTTTGTCTTTAGAGGTGATTTTTCCTGGACATAGACCTATGAAAGTCGCAACTTCACAGAAGTGATCTGCCGCCCTTTCCTCACAATACACAAGGAAGGCAACTCCTCTGTGTGGTCACTCCATTGTGCCCCATTACCTCTGGGAATTGTTACATTTCAACCAGGAGAGAAGCCACCAACATGCTGAGTCCCTGTGAATTTGGGAAAATTGGGGGACAAACAGAGCAAGAAGTCTTTGCTGGTGCCTGCTAAGGGAAGGACTGATAAACTGAGCTGTCCCTTGWCCCCAAAGAACACCAGAAGGACATGTTAGAAAGCAGATCTGRCCCCTGATGCTGCTTGTGATGCTGCCAGCTTTTTCCATTATTCTGTGATAATCCTTGATGTTCTTCAAGCAGCTGAAATTCTGTCTTGTAGGACACTTCCTGCTCCTGACCACTTGTGCCAGCCTTGCAGGGTTGRCCTTTAAAGATACTCTGACTTGACCCAGAGCTTGGAGCAGCYCTGGATTCACAGTTCAGAGTTTGTGGTTTTTCCCTCAGAAGGAGCAGCAGTTCCTGAAAACCTCTACTGGCTTTCAAAGG